GGGGGGGGGGAGGAGCGCAAGGAGAATCGAGGAGAAACAAAACGTAGAGACAGGCCGTGAACAGCTCATAGCATAACCATGCGGTAAAGGCACTGCGCCGCGTTCTCAAACGGCGACTATTCTATTTATATAGGTTCAAGCTCAGTCTGCACTGCCCGCGTCGCTCTCATGCGAGCCGTGCATTTTGTCACCATGCCTGGGTCTGTCTTTGGGAACGCAAACTCCCCCGTATGCGACTCGGTTAATTAACGCCTCCACGCCACGCTGCAGCGTACTACTCAACTATGGTGCTCCCTGTTACTTTCCTGTTCTCTCCCGTGGGATCCTTCGGCTCGCCAGCGGAACCAACCGAATCGTCCCGAATGTTCCGTTGGCACGGTCCAGTATCGTTAACTCTATGTATCCCAAGACTCGAGATACAACTTTCACGGGATACTTGTCTGAGCTTGCTTCGAACTTGGCGTTCTTCTTTTTTAAATGGAGCAAATCATTTGGCAATGCATTCTGGGAATAGTTCTTCTGTGCAGCATATACGTTTTTTGAGGATGTAGTTGCTGGTTCCGCGTTGGACACCATGTGAAATTCATTGAAGGTTGCAGCCCTGTAGCCCAGGGATGGGCGGTAGGGGAGAGGAGGTGTCTCCATTGATTTTTCATTTGAGTTCCAAAGTGCGGAATTTCGTTCTGGTATCGCCTTGTTCCGCAGCCACTGGTTAACGGGTGACAAAGAGAAGACTAATATCTTGGATCTTTTTTTTGACTTACCCTACGTGTCTCACTTAGCTGATCATCTCGCAGCAGTGACACACGCGTTACCTGAAACTTCATTATTGATCAAGTCATGGCTCGCGATGCTCGTCAGCCCGAAGGGTCTGCGACTCTCTTGGCCAAAGGAGATTCATGAACACAAGCAGCCGCCCGGATGCCTGCCTACCCCCGTATTGATCCTTTCGATAGTAAGTGGGTACCACGCGCATTCTATAGAAGGTTTATGCCTATGCCTGCCTCGTTCTCCTTCCTACCATCCGCAGGACCTCAAATACGCAGGAGTCAGTCTTAGGTGTCCCGGGTACAGTCCTCATCCGCCGTCTTCCTAGACACTTCGCAGCTCGACTTGTGTTTCTCTGCCTGGCACTTCTACGAAGGACCAGTAGGACAGGGTTCGAACAGCTCCCTGACCTAACATTGCAAAAGGTACTATGTATAGTAAGAAAACTGAGAGGTTAACTATATATGTATACCCCAAGTTACCAATACGTACGTACCACGAGAAACTATGCGTACAGCTCTTCGTTTCTCTTGTAATCTTTTTTTTTCTTTTCCAAAACTGCCATCGGTCTCGCTGTATCGATCCGCCAGTATTCCGTATCGAAAGTAGGAACGTATGAAAAGAATGGGGGAAAAAAAATAAATAAAAAATTACTCGTACGCCCTCAATAATCGTCATCCGCACTGTAAACACAGGATATCTAAAACCGATACCAAAGTCGTCCGTATAGAATGGGTCAAGATAAGAGACACTTCTGTCGTTAATAGAAATTCTTTGTATCGAGTCACTATCGACTCACGACCTTGTTATCAGTTCCCTCCCCAGGCATCGCCGGCACAATAGCATACGGGAAAGATGCGTTGCCGAGCTGCAGATGCCTCGATATGTTTTCAAAGATGGCCGTGACAATAGTCAAATTCATTGATCCTACCTTCACGCCGATAATTTCCCTTTGCACACACCTTCATTCTTTCTTCTTATTCTCTGCTAAACTCACGGCCGTGTCTCTCGTACGCGCATAGTCATCGAGTGACAACAGCGAGCGGAGAAAAGTACCAGTAGACGAAGGCAGGCGTTACGTCCTCGAGACAGTTTTAACGGATCGACGAGTTTTCTCGTTAGGAGCGACCGAGAAGAAAGAAAAATGTCCTCCCGAAGGGCGTTCACCCACGCGTACAAATATGGCGTCGCTAAAATCGCACCAGAGTGCAACGTTGTCTGTGAGTAAAATGCCGGCTCGACCGAGGGTGGCTCTGCAAGCAGATAGCGGAGGAAGGAACGGCCATGATCGATGTAAAAGATCAGAGGAAAGTTACCAGGCAGGGCCCCAAGACCGAGAGAACAGAAGAGAGAGAGAGAGAGAGAGAGAGAGAGAGAGAGAGAGAGAGAGAGAGAGAGAGAGAGAGAGAGACTCTCCTTGAGACGCGTGGATCTTCGCGCACGACCGTAATCCCCGTTCCCGAGGGTATCCAGGTTGTTGTTGTTGCAAGAACTGTGCGAGACTGTCAAGACCGGCCGAGGGGGGAAGGACCGGGGAGCGGAGGTCTAGGGCCCAGCGACAGCAAAACCCACGCGACACAATGCATCCCGCTACCTGGAGATGTCTACCCAGGCGCAATCTGCATTACCATCCGTTTACAGCGACAATGCGTCCATTGCCTTTCTCAGCCCCTGTCGTATCGACTATGTACGGTCGACCACAACCTTCATCAGTATATCCCGCGATCTCCTTATAATTGTTGGCCGCGTCGGTGTACGCGTAGAATATGCTTTTCGGAACGCCCGGGTCGTTCGTTGTGTACTACTGGCCAGCAGGACTCGGCAGATAAAGCCTTACCGTCCTGGATGAAAACCGCATTCTACTGTGCTTTTTACCGACCGTCGCGACACTCCCGATATATTTGCTCAGGACTCGTTTTACGTACAGTCACATATATCGAGTATAGAAAACCGCAGGCAAAGCTTCCACGAAGCAGGGAACGACCACGATCCAGTTTCCGCAATAGCGATTTTCATAGGAGACTGTCTGCTCGTGAGTCTCTTGGTAACCGATATACTCCGTGGTTAATAAATTTGTTTGAAAATTTCGTTACGGATCGTATCCCGATTGCTAACGGTCGTGTATGTATGCGTTTAGAGAAATTATTCGTGGGTTAGATAATACGTGGTGGTGGTCAATTGACGCTTGGCTGTTTCCAAGTTCTCTCTGGCACATTAAGCTTGACAGTGTTTAGATATATGAGTTACCTCGCTTGCGTCCTGTTGTGTATCTGGTAGGAATGCCAGTTCGCTACTTCGTTAGTTAGCGGCAGCCGGGTGCGCGCGGGTTTGGACGATGGGAAAAGACGCTATAAATACGTCGAACGACTATTCATCCCTATCGTTCTGTGCATCGTGCGCGAGGATCGAGGGAATCGCTAGGAAGCCTTCTTAAATAGTATCAGTGTTGTGTTACTCGTATCTCTGATGCGGCTTCATTGCAATCCACAAATATACATCGAGCGACGATGGGACCTTCTTTGGTTTTGGCGATTATCACGCCTCGTGTATTCTTGGTTCGGCGATTGGAACGCCGTGCCGCGGCCATTTACGGAATCAAATTACACACGTTACTATTATGTAGCTCGAAGGAAACGAGGACCGCCCGCTGCTGCTGGTAACCTTCTTTGGAATCCTTTTAACACATGTGTGTATGTATATAGATATATATATATATTATTTTTACCAGTACCAATTTTTATCTTAAGCGACTAATTTTACGCGGGTATCCACAGAGCTATTTTTCCGACAAAGAGTAAAAGCACAGCTCTCTTTTTTCCCTTATTCTCTGTATCTTATTTACGCGCTTGGCCCCAGCTCAATTCCTGCCGATCCCCTCCGCTGCTAAGGTATTACTCCCGCAGGAAGCATGTAGTAGGTCCCCAGTAAGGTCTTACGTGACGCACGGCAGACCTAGTCGCTCGTAGAAAAGAAAAAAAAAAAATGTGCGAATAACGTTTTTACAGGGTGGTCAGAACAACTCGTCGAGTAGAAATGCGGTTAACAACACGCAGTCATCATCGGTCCCAAATCCCGTCAGATGCGGGCAACCGACTGCCCTGGGAATAGACTGGATACGACGCGACAATGCTCTACGCGAGCACCGGAACTCATCATCCTGCACGGCCACGCACGTACAGGGCCAGCTCTCTCAGGTATATACCATCCATGTCTCATTGAAAACTTCACTTCCCCCCCATGATGTTCCCTCCATGTCCGGTTTCGCCTAACCTACCAATTTCATGTACAGTCCCATACATCAATTATTCGTACACGTCGACCGACGACCTCAGCATCATCCACGTCTCCGCCTTCTACTCCTCATCGTCATCCGTACCTACGCCCTTGTCTCACGCAAGAATAGACCGGGAGGGTCAGTGCGTACGCAACGCGCCTTCTCCTCAGGACGTCCCGGGATTACGTACTATGGAAGATCGGCCACTCTGCCTCCGTATCAATTCGCAGCTACTGCGGCCAAGTGGTTCGCCCGCGTACACGTCGGGCGAGCAGAGGGCGGCAAGCAGAAGGGCCACCTGCCAGGCTATCTGGTGCGTGGAAAGTCGCGTCTAGGGAATTTCTCGTGAACGCCCTAGACGCACGCCTCCTCTGGCAAATAGGCTAGGGTTTCGCGGAGGGCCGCGTCCCTGTCGCTTTGGCGAGGTTAAGGACTTCGGGTTAGGTTAGCTCAGCCAATCTGCTGGTACGTTAACTGTGGCTCTTGCTCGCTTCGATGTATAATGCAAAGGCGTTGGATAGTATATCTGTATGTCTGTGTTATGTCTGTCTCCTGCCGTTGGCAACAACCGTCCTATTGGCTCCTACGGGAACTGGATCGTGTCAGCTCGTCATTTTCGGTTTAATGCCCACCCCTTGTCGCTCTCATGACTTCCCCTCCTTGTTTCTCTTGCTACGCAGATATTCACACCCTCTTACTACCCTATATCTGTCTGGACGCCTAACAAGCCCTGTTTATACGTCTTTTTCACTGTGTGCCCAAGTCGTTGGGTAACAGCTTAACCATCTAGTGTCGCAGAGAGGAACTACGGCTTCCGATCGTTACTGATCTACCTACTGTTAAATGTTTCTTTAAGTTATGCGAGTCAGGCTGGACTGAGCCCATAATTTATCGTTGCTCTTCCTGGATACGGTCTATGGATTTTTCACTTTCTATCTTTGGTCGTTATAATTGCGTCGCACTTGGACCTTAATTTTCTCTTATTTTTCTGTCTCTACGTTAAATGCTGTATGTTTCTTCATTTTCAAAAAGCCCGCCCAGGGCTATTTATATTCACGTCGTCAAGACTCGGCCTGATACTCGGGGAAGAGGGGATCGTCTTTGGCTCTTCGGTAATCAATCCTAAGCTTTTTGACTTGGAGTTCCTGATGTAAACTATTTGAGGTACCATTGGTGTCGGAACTTTTCTCTACCGAACTTCTGGTTAAGGGGTTAGAGTTACTTTTTGTAACTAGGACTTTTTCAGAGTTTGAAAAAAATTACTGTGAATTGGGGACGCGCCCATTCAGCAACCTTCTTTCGATGTTTCGTATAATTTGTTGATTTCTTTTATTTTATTTATTTACAATTTCGTTCGTTAAAACTCTACGGAGAGTGGTTATAAGTTTGGCGCGATTTAAAAAAGTTCTTATTTACTTACCTCGAGACCCACATACCACGCCATATTTTATGTCACGAGATAATCGCTCTAGCTGCTGAATTTTTATTGGTCTAAAATCGGGGATTCCCCTAAAATAGTCACTTAAAGTTCATACCGATTTAAAATAATACATGCTTAATCCATGGTAATCGGGGTCGTCGGTAATCATAACGCTAGAACAGGTTTCTTCCTTGAGAAGTCCCAGAATTTTGATTATCGTCTGCAAGAGGGACGAGGAAAAAAAATATCTGGAAAAAAGGAAGGAAGCAGCCGTTCATACGAAACCGGATTCTCAAGGTTTTACGTGCACGGTCAGTGTGTGGCGGTTCTTTCACGATTATCCAAGGAATATTGAATTAGCCGTATGTCAGTCTTTTCTCCACCAGCCATAAACTTTTGTATTATGCAATAGACTTAATCGCCGTGGAATATCGATTGCACGTTCGAGAGTCCGTCTGTGTTCCGTTAGACCGGCGTGGTTTCAGCCGTCAGGGTTTCAGCGATTCAACGGGTCGTTCGTATAAGCAGCAGCGGGGGGTGACTGGTTGCGGTACGTTGATGGTGGGCGAGGAGCGCGGGAGATATTCAAAAGTCTTGGCGCATGCGCAAACGGCTATCGTTTTCTATGGGCGAAAGGCAAAAGACTATTATACGACGATTATATGCATTTATTCACGGAGTAGAGAGGCGGCGTCATTAATCGCGCGCAAAACTTCAGCACAGCGATTTGGAATTAAAACGTGAGAGGTTGCCTGATGGCTGTCCTTTCAAATTGAAATGTTCAAAGGGTTTGACATTACTAATTGGATCGGCTTGTGGTCGAATGGATACTATCTGAACGAACGTGTACGTATATGCTTGATGGTTACTCCGATTAGATTCCTGATATCAGGTCATGTCAGATCGTACTCTATTATAATACTTGAAACTGGCTGCATATACGCGTGACGTGAAGTAAACCGGATGACAGGGATGGCTCGATAAGCTGTCACGTGATGGCACGCGCAAACGCGATGTATTGTGTGCCTGGTTAAAAAAAAAGAAAGAATTTAGTGGATTAAATAAACATTAGGAAAACTTTAGGATCCGATCCAAACAGTTTTTCTAGTCTGGATTTGTTGTAATACAGATCTCACTGGTTCTAGGGATTTCATGCTCTGTAAACATACCAGTTGCAGAGTGCATTCTACGGAGAGTGGAAAATGGCCGAGATTCGACGAGAGCCGTGGCTTTCCCTATTGGATCTATACACAGGATAGTACACGTGTACCTAATGAAAGATGGCGGTGAATAAAAAGAGGTCTCCGATAACAACGCCCTCGTGCGGCATAAACTCGACTCCCGTGATCTTCCGATATACCTTATACCGGGTGCACGAATTGACTCCCATTATACATGGGCCGGTCGCACTTACGCCGCGTCCACAGACGCTCTACGGGTTTCGTGTAAACTGACAATCACAGGGCGCACAGCTAGAAAGGGCACAACGTGTGCCGGGAGCCATTGTGTATCACTTAAGTGGCGCCGCCGGGTGCTTTGATTCCTAAACTACTAAGGACACAGCTCCACCTGTACGAACTGCGTTATATCTATCTGAACTATTTTTCTAGACACTGAGAAGACTCTCTTTCTCTCTGAATCGGAATTCGTCTCTTCATCCTTACGCGCAATTATTTTCCGTACCTTTTTGTAATACTAGAAATTCTCTAGAAGAGTAAACGCCAAAAGGTCCAACACACGGGCAGCATGTGTCTCCCCGACTATTGACTTTCCCCATTGTGCCACGTAGACCGTTGGCACGCGCTTGTTGACCCGAGCACCGGTCCGTGCTATGATATGCCATAACTTCACAATAGATATTTTCATAGCGCGTACATTGAGAGCCCTGCATGGTAATACATTCTGGAGGTCTTTTCGAGAGTGTAAGCCGCAACGTTAGGGATACGAGGAGCGTACATCAGGAATGATAAAAATAAGAAAAATAATTTTCACAGCTGTTACCGTTTGGATCTTACATTTGCGTATTAATAAATTTCGCACTTTTCGTTTTACGGGGAGGCGAGAAGACCTCTTCTTTACCGATGATAAAACGTACAGGGCGCCGGGCCAAGTTGGGCCGACCCTGCGCCACCAGTGACTTGACGCATCAGGAGTACACAGAACCCCGCGTGGGCTTTGGCACTGGATGCCGGCGCGCGAGCGAGACGAGGCAACGCCGCGTGGCCGAGCAGCTGATCGAGCCTCGTGGTGGGGAGGGACTTGCGCCACTGGGCTAATGAGTGTGCGACCCTATTGGCGCGTGGGTACGGGGAAGGCTGTGTTGCCGTCACACTCACACCGTGCCGTGTGGTCGCGCGCTGCACCACGCGAGAACGTTGCCCGATCGAATGGCATTGCAAGGTCTAGAGCCGCGCTTTCCCCTCGGTCTCCATACGCGCCCATGAGCAGACAGGTTCCCTTCGTGCTTCCTTCGCCATTTTTATTCTTGTGCATCGACTCGTGCATTTTATTCTTATTACTTCTTTTTTTAATTACATTTATGATTCACGTACCAGAGGATATTACGTGACTCTCTTCATTAGTTAAAGACTCGTCTACGGTAGTCCTTAATAACTTGTGATTTATTATATTTTGACGTTTCAATTTACTTGGGATATAAACAATTTGTGTAATTTGGAGAATTAAGCAGAGCGGAAACGAGACTGAGGTTCTTCTTTAACGGCTGTTTCCTGTTTTTCGAAATTTTCATAACTGCACGTTTAAAGACGTGTTTCTCGGAAAGTATGGCATTTCCATTGTTCCACGTGCTACGTTCCCATCGTCAGTAATACACACGGATCCACACGCATCCCACGTCACAGAACGGCATGCACTGATCACACGAAATCCAAAAGTATGGCTGCCTCCTCTATCACAAATCACCACAGCAAACGTCCGCGCGATCCCACTAGGTGCAGGTCGAGCCGTTGACAATAGAAGTCAGTCCATGTCAGAGGGGTTCGACCTCGGAGGTCATAGGGCAGAACGTGGTCTTCACACGGCAGAGACCGTTATTGAGGGAGCTACGGTAGGAAGAGTCTGAGGGCCGAAGAGGGTGTGTGTATGTGTTCCCCTCCCGCATATATGAACGGCCTTCGGTTGAGCAGGGCGAAAACGAGAGAGTCCGACGTAGAGCGGTCACGCGTTTCCTCTGCACGGTCGATACGGCAGTGTCCTCGTGACGGTGGTACTGTCGGGATTGTGCACGCGAATCGGAAGGAACCAGAGAGTTTGCGACCACCAACCGGACTGCGTCCGGGCGACGAGCCGTACCTCTGGAGTACGGAGGCTCGACTACCGGGGATCGAGAGAGAGTGCACAACTTGAACCTGATGCTACGGTCGCCCGACCAGTTAGGTCCGCTTGTCTGTCGCGTACGTAGACTCATCCCCACCACATTCCCGTTATTACCCCCTCCACCCACGGCATCAGCCAATAGCGTCGCTCCTTGCCCCTCCACATCAGCACTGGCCATCCCCACTGCTCGAGTCTCTACTTTCTGCGTCTTTGTCTTTCTCCTACGAGGTCTCTGTCCGTCCTTGTCATTGATGGCTGGCGCACACAAGGCAAAGTGCGCCCCACGACTCGTCCCGACGGTCCAGTGCCGTGCGAAGGCGAGATAAGTTCGGGCGCCCAAGAACAAATGTCCGCGTCGCGAACGCCGCGATATGTTCGCCTCGGTGAACATCCTGTGAACATGCCGATCCGCTGGAACTCGGAACGGCACGGCTCGAGAGAGTGGACTTCCACGGAGGTCGTCGGCGCGCGGCTTCCCAGGGTGGATAGAGATACTACACGAATATTCGCATGCGATTCATAAGAGATCGCGGGCATTAACTTCCATTCGTTTTGCAGGTCGATCTTTTTCTCTTTCTCTCGCGCGTCTCCATCCGCTCGGATTTACCTTCCTCGGATAATCACAGGCTTACGCGCTCTGCGGCTCTGGTCGAATACGACAGTTTGAACCGGAGAATCGGGGAGTCGCACTTTCTTGCCTCCGTGACCTTCTGAAAGAACGATACGTTTACTCAGGAAGGAAGGAAAGGAAATGGTCACTGGTACATTAATTCGAACTTTTCTGAACATCAAGAGTGCCGTTAGAAGTGACGACCGTGGGGATATCGTGAAGATTTACTTATCGGTAATGACAGGTCGTGAAAGAGCGGATAAACGAGAAGAGCCCCTGTTATACAAAGGGAATCGTAAGGCGGATCCCTGATGATTCGGGATGGTCCAGGGTGCAGCGGTGCTGTACCCTTTGCACCCCTTGCACCCCACGGTAGCACAGCCACACTCCGCCACATTGATTTTACCGGCTCGCTCACACTCACACTTGGCCGACCCGTTCACTGAAGGAATGTCTCATATGCCCTCTCGTCGCCTCTCTCCTCCCTCACTCTCCTCCTGGTCTCTCCCTCCGGCACTCGCATAGATTTCAGTCTCTCTCGCTCTCTCGCTCTCTCGCCGCGCTCTGATCAGTGGGGCGGTAGCGCGTCGGAGAGGCGGCGGAGGTTGCACCTTTTGCCGCATCTCGGAATCTCGCGTTGCTCATTTGCCGCTGATAGAAGAGTAGAAACTACGGTCCGCCGGTATTATAGCATTATGCTAGAGCGGCGGGTGCACGTCGGGCAGAGTTTCAGTTCCGTTTCGTGCGGGCGAGTTTCCTCTGCGCGATTATCCTCCTTGTTAACTCGATAGATTCGCCGTGTCGTAATAATATTTACCCACCGGGACAGCAGTTACACGGCCCCACGCAATTCCGACAGACTCTTGGAGCACAGTATATACTCGTGAAGAAGATTCACGCGACGGGATGCCATTCCCGTGACCATTGACATGGGCCACTTGCCGTAAACCTCTCGTTGCGTTAGCCGTACGCTGTATTCCCGTTTACTTTGCCCTCTACCTACGCCTCACGCCGTCGACGGAGTGAACCGAACCCTAGCAGAAACTGGCCTTCCACATGGCGCTTCCTCGTCTGCTGCTACTCGGGCCAGGAAAAATCTGAAAATACCTATGGGTCACGAGGGACGTGGAGAGGAATACTGCTAGTACGGAGTTAAAAGTAAAAGACGACCTCGACTATGGCTGCAACCACGGCCAGGTGTACGGGATCAGGCCTCCTCGCACACTTACCAATTTCAACGTTACTTCTTCCTCGCGTACTTCTCTCCTTACACGACGTAAAGTCATCATCCTCTGCCAGCAGTTACCCACGTCACTTCGTTACAGAACTCGCCGCCTCCTAGAGTTCCGCTCGAAGGTTTACCGATTGGCCGTAACATCGGTAAAGAAGTTTTCTCCACCTTCGTACGTGCGCCCTAACTGACTATCCTGCTCTTCCACTGATAGAGTACCGAGGGGGAGAGAGAGAGGGACGCTCTCTTCGGGGCAATGCGAACCGACTTATTTATTATCGTACGACGCGACTTGCTTGGACTCTCCTGCGCGGCATACGACACTGTTCTACCTACCAACCGGCATTCTAGTGCACCCTCGTGAGTCTTCATGTGCGCGTCTTATTTGCTCAGAAGTTTCATTCGATCCCTTCGCCGTGAATCCTAAGGAGACTCTAGACGTTCTCGTATCCGCATTCGTGTGTCTGCCCGGTAAACGCGTCGACGGATAGGTTAGTTCTTTACGATTTACACCGCAAACGTTTCTCATTGGCCAGAAGTATGACGACGAGCACTCCGCTTCCACCATTCAAGCACATCAACGTCGTCACCGTCGCCGGTGCTCGAGGCGCCCGACACTACGTGCAAGAACCTCCTACGTGAGACATTCCTGTCACGATGGCTTCTCAAGGATCGGTTGTCAGACTCTCGAGTCGCGTTGGACGGAGGATTAGCATCCCATTACCTCGTGAACGGCTACCAGTCGCCATGCTTTTGCATCCTTGGCTTTGTAATGAGATGACTCGATCGTGAACGGCCAAAAATTCCTAGGGATGCAGAAACTTCCTTATCGACCGTGTCAAGGCCTGATCAGAACTTTATGATGACAGTAAATAAATGGATCGTCGAATCGTCGTTGATTTTAACGTAAAAAAGTGATTCGCCAGGAGTGACCACACGTAAGAATTGTTTACCTTTAAAAACCTAACCTCGAAAGTAAAATCGCATGCTGTTACTTTGGATTGACAGATCCGCAACGGCTAAGGACATATTTAATAGTGCGTCGTGTCGTTTCCACTGCCTCCTGAATTTACGTGGAGGTATGATGCTACGAATGATCGCGCGGACGTGCCCAGTGACTCTTTGACAGACCATTATATTTTGTAACGCAATGTTTTCACCGGGAGTGTATAATCGTGCGGCGACGACGTACATGACGCCTCGACGCTCCTACGAATGTTTTCGAGACGCGAATAAACACGCTACGTCATCGTGTGTCGCAAGCCAGTTTCCAACGGGCGAAATCCACGGCGAATCTTCCATCGATGCTAGGAGGAGGATTCTACCGAGGAAGTGCACCACCTGCCCTTGCGTGGTGAGTCTACCAAGAGTGCAGAGCAAACACGATGCGGGATTTATTGGCGCCCTGAGTGTTCATGCCAGTCACATGACGACGGGGCGCAATCAAATCAGCTGTCACGGTCGTTCATTGTGGATTCGATTAGGATAGTGGAAACTGAACTATTAACCTACCTTCATTGAGGATCATTGGCTCTGTCAGGTTATGTAGTTCTACGAGCCTGCTCGATGCACGTACAACAATGTAGAGTCCGTTATTTAGTGCGGTTAAGTGGAATTGCGTAATTAAATCAATGCAGAAAGATACATTTGTACAGTTTGTATTAGGGGGGGCAGCAACGAACCCGATGACCTGTAAACAAATTTTGGCGAAGGTAACTTTTGAATTATTCGAAAAAGAAAGTTCCTTCCTTGTGAGGGAGATGTACCGGTAAAAGAAAACTCGTAGACGTACCCTTCGTTCGTTCATAGGATACTCTGCTCGTAAGAGTATCGTACGTATATCGAAAATAATAGACGCATTCCGGTTCTCACATAGCGACCCACATCGATCTCACTCGGTGTGTAACGCTTTAATCGCGTCGGGCGTGCACGTTGCTGCTGTCGACTCATGTATACAGACAGCAGGCGCTGCCAGATACGATCCATTCGTTGTGCCGGTGTGCGTGCAGATTCTCGTGCGAGGGCGCAAACGCGTGCCGCGTGACCGCGTCCATGAGGACTTACCGTGAAAACCGGGTTCACAATCGGGCGCGCTGGTAAGCGCGTCCGACGCGCCGCCCGATAATAACCCGCGGCACTTTGAGAAAGAGAGTTTAAGCTGCTTTTAAGAGAGAGAGAGAGAGACGAATGAATGTATCATGGCTCGCGTGTAGAGTTTGCTTCATTCTATTGCCATGCACAACGTCACACTGAGAAATGACGTAGCCGCGGATAGACAGATAGAGACCGCACCGTTGCCGGATTATACGGCCCGTTAATCAGCAAAACGAGTAAGCAGAGATACGAATAGATTGACGTTCGAAGACACGAGGCACAGGAGCGGGGAAAAGTTTGAGGAAGAAAGCAACGTGAAATACGTAGATAGAAAGACAGATGTCCGGGCGAAATTGACTCTAGTACTTGGGGCACGTACGAAATGTATGATAGAAGGCCACTTAGTCGTTCAGGCTGGGGCCTCGAGTTCGTAAGCGGGAACTAGTAGTAGCAATAGTAGTTGTAGTTATAGAGTGAGTAAAGCTGCTGCTCCCTCGCGGTGCGCGTCTGTCGTTCTACGAGCCAACCGCGCTGCTCCTTACGGTCTTACCAGTCAGCCAAGCCAGTCAGCTCTCTTTCCTCTCTTTCAATCCGCACTCTTTCTCTCTCGCTCCCACTCTCGTCGTCTTGCTCTCCTCTCTTAGATTCACTGGTCTCTCTCCCTTCTCTCCCTTCGTCATCCCTCGCCCCTTACGAATTCCCCTTCTGCCTTCCCCGCCGACTAGCCTCCTCTCCACCATTTTGTCGTGATTCCTCTAGCTCTAAACGTATATTGCATATTTTCTCCTCGGCGTACTATTGACTTTCACGTACGAATTGTTCGCTAACCTGTGCCAATGGTTGACACACCGTTCAACTGGCCTAACAGCAAGCACGATTATGGGGCTCTACCGTAGGCCGACTTGGAAGGTGCCATCTTTCTCTGATTTACTAGTCTTCTCTGTTTAATTCTTTTTCTCTGCCGTAATTGCGCCTCTGCTTCTAGCTCGGCAACTGTCTCTCTCTCTCTCCCCCTCTCTCTGTTTCTTTGTATGTTGTCAACGTCCATTTTTTTATTAGTCTTGTCATACTTTGTACTCTCTCAGGATATTTCAATCTGCCTTCTTCTCTCTTGTTGTTATCCTGGCCATGAGTCCTCTCTTGTTCGATTGCTATTCTATGTCCAGAAGCAGCCGATGTCGTGTTCTCAACGAGTGGTCGTCTGCTAGCTGGCTTGGCCAGTGGATGTCCGATATGCGATTTACGTTTCTCCATGGTTGGGAATACGGTACGCGAGGTTACACCTTGATCAGGATTGTAGAAATTTTGCATTCAAATTTTCTATCTGATCTTCCGATTATTCGGGTGACTCGGTCTTGTGCAGCTGATAAAATATTTTTGTTTCTAATTCACTGTAATTAGATTCGAATATCGAGACTTCAACGCGGATGGTGTCACCAGGTCGGAATAGTCAAGTATTTGGCCTTGAGCCTTAGAGTTTTGTTTTCTAGTAAATTGCTAAATATTTTTCCTGATATTTTTTATCACTAACTTTTGTATACTTTTTATCTGTGTATCTTTGTAGATATTATAAGCATAGTAATGTTTTCTACCTTTGTTCATCTCAACTCCTTTCTCTTTTACCCTCACTCTCACCGAGTCTCTTTCACATGTACTTCATGGACTTTCCATTACCTTTGGACAGTCCTTCAGTAAAGATTTTTCTTTCATACACATTATTTCAGGCATCGGTACATATCATTGTACTGTGACATTTAATTTCAGAAGTCAGACGATAGAACTTTATAACATATTCAGGAAAATTGAGATGCCCTAATAACATTTCATTCTTGTTTCAGATGTCTGCTGGGTCACAAATTCAGATGGCACCTCAATCAACTGTAAACTCTGGTCAGTCGGTTCATAGTCAAGACTCGAACATGAGCACTGGTAAGCAGCAGCGTTATGAGCTATTTCTATAAAAATTAAACCAACCAGTTTGCCAGCAAGTAGAAGTCTAGCTTAATCTATTAATGTTTTATCTGTCACTGATATAAAACTAACACACCAAGCTATTCAATAATTCATGGTGCACCAAGTTATTCGATGTATAAAGCTACGGTGCAACCAATATAAAAGTTATTCAATATGAGTGTTACGTTGGTTAAGAAATCATTTCTTCGCAGGCTCATCACATAGTGACAAGGAGGTGGACCCAAACACTCCAGAAAAGGTGCCGCGAACCCCTTCGGAAAGAAAAAGAAAACGTAAGGTGGACGACAGCGGCGGGGGCGTTCCTGGGGGACCCGTTGGTGGTAAGGGGGCTCGCTCTGTCGCCACCCTGGACAGCAAGAAAATTAACGAGTACTTTCCCAAACATCATGTCGGTAACAGTCCCATCCGACATGGTGGAGCTAAGAGCCCCTCGCCCCAGCAAGGATACCCTATGGTAAGTACAAGTTCAGCGTACAAGTCATCCTCAGGAGTTATCCTGCGAATAAACCAGGTTCTACTTTATCTAACGAATCATTATTTTCCACTACTAGTATCCACCGTCGCCGCAAGTAACGACGCCCAACTCGTCGGTGGAGTTCTCTTCGATGATGCAGCCACCACGACCTCATCCTCAGCCACCACCTCCTCCCCCATCAGCCTCTACACAACCTGCAGGCTCGATGGTCAGCAAGCAGGTGCAGGTAAGGCCTACCAACCTCCCTAGGACAAGCCAGGTCAGGCAAGCGAAGACTAACACCCCAAATGTAAGCACCATTCGGTCGGTTTCTGCAAGCACTTGATAAGATACATCCCGTCCAAGTCCGGAACGAAGCGCGAGCTGTCGATTAATTCCAGTTTCAATCAAACGTCTCTCCTTGTCATTCCTGCATCCTCATATCCATTCTCCTCACTATAACAATTATAAAGATTCACCCAACAGCCATCTGTTGACCACCAGAACCGATAAAGAAATTATTGTTGTCTTTACCCTGGTGTCACTGTGCACAAATTCCATCAAGTCCTCTTTTCATGCCTATTTGACATCTTCAACGTTGTCCCCTTTTTTATTCCACAACGTTTACTTGCCTTCATCCTACCCAGTGTGCAATAACCGATTATCCCTGTAGACGTTTGGCCTTGTCACTCGAAAACATTTGATTAGTAGCCACGCGACTCGGGATTTCTTCTCAAGTGTTTGCAGCAACCTGAGCTAATTCTGATTTGCTGGCCATAAACGTAGCACTGTATCCATTTGTTGTCATACAAATGCAGGCTACCTTGCAAATGGCACTCAACACGGGGCACGTTCGATTTCTTTCCTCTTTCGTTTTGTCTGTCAGTACATTCTGTTAACACTATTAATCTATTTATATTGCCTGAAGATACAAGGCATGGGGTGTGCATGTTCGTCGTCGCAACAGCATCGGGTTTACCTCGGTGTCCCCGTGGCATCTATCTGTGGGATTTATTAAACATTTTAATAGGCAACACACGAAATACTTATTTTCTTGGTCAAATCTTTACAATCAGTTCTCTCTTTGTCATAGAAAAAAAATAATAAGAAAACTCCAAGTAGTCTTTGACGTTAAATTGTGTCTTGTGCCTCGTTATAAATTTTCGTTGACATGCACGCATCCCGACATGCCTACATTTTTGGTGTTTTCCTTGCCGCCTGCGTGACGTTACGCTTCGTCGAGATCTCCTGGTTCCACACAATCGGCTTAATTTTCCTAAGAGACACATTCGACCGGTTATCAACAGTCCTTGGGTACTTTTAACAAACATTTTAATGTTTCGCAATTGTCTCCGTGAATATTTTTAAACGTTTAAACCAGTTCATCCTACCAGTATGGTTAAAGCAGACTGGTAGGACGATCATTCCTTTATTTTCTTCCATTTGCTGTTGCCCGTGCATGCGTTTGCCAGAATGCGCGTAAAGGCAAAATGATGTACGCGATGGAATCTTGAACCGATTGAGACGTTTTGTTGTTTTTTATTATTGTTATTATCATTATTACCATTGTGTGTACCATGTTATTTTTGGGGGGGTGCGTCAAGGTATCTGGTATTTGCAAGCTATGCTGACAAATGTATCTGATGTTACGAGAATACGAGAGAGCCGTCATGTTTAAGAATCGCTTAATTGAAATTTTCAGACAGAACTTACTTGCCAGAGGATACAGGAGTTCGAGACCCAAGCGTCGTCAGACTTGGAACTACGTAACAACAAAATTGATGAATTAAATAGAGTAAGTAACCGTATGGGAATCGTTTATTCCATGGGAGTCTCCATTGAGATCATGTAAGCGACCAGTGTGCTCACTAGTAATGCGCCATGGCTAGAAAGAAATCGACTACACACGTACTGCTTTTGTATTCTTAATTTGTGGATCTCTCTCTCTCTCCTTTTCTTTTTCGTTCTCTTACCTGATAATTTAATAATGCTAGTGAGGAAGGAGAAGAGAGCGAGAGAAAGAGAGGCGGGAGCAAGAATGAAGGAGACGCGCAATTTATAATTTCTCTTGTTTCAGACGAAGGAAGAACTTAAGCATCAAATGGCTAATCAGCAAAAGGTGATTGAGCAGCACAAATCGCATATAAATAAGTGTATAGACGTTGTAAAGAAGTTATTAAAAGAAAAATCAAACATAGAAAAAAAGGAGGCTAGGCAGAAGTGTATGCAAAATAGACTGAGGCTGGGTCAGTTTGTGACACAGAGGGTAGGCGCGACATTTCAAGAGAATTGGACAGACGGTTACGCGTTTCAAGAGTTGGCGCGACGGCAGGAGGAAATAACGACGGAGAGGGAAGAGATTGATAGGCAAAAGAAGATGCTACTCAAGAAGAGGCCGTCGAATAGCGAGACTGGTAGGAAGAGGAGCCAGCCGCAACCTTCCTTGCATAATGGTACCGAAGCTACGTTTTTGAAGCCGGACGCAGTACCTGGATCCTATACTTGGCAGGAGTATTACGAGGCCGACGAAATACTCAAGGTACGTGTAGATCCTGGTGCATCTCAATCCATCACGATGCCAATGTTCTTCCCAGTGTCTTTTACTTTGATTCCATCGACTGACTCTAATTAACCCACATCACTCTTTCTGATCTGATAGCTGAGACAAAGTGCGTTGAAGAAAGAAGACGCAGATCTGCAACTGGAAATGGAGAAACTCGAAAGGGAACGAAACCTACACATCAGAGAATTGAAACGTATACACAACGAGGACCAATCGCGATTCAATTCTCATCCTGTACTGAATGAACGTTACCTCCTACTTATGTTGTTAGGGAAAGGCGGGTTCAGTGAGGTGCATAAGGTAATGACTTTAACAACTAATTGTTGCTTTGACTGTTAACCAGGAAATATTTTCTCTTTGCCATTGCGTCCTCATAAAACTTTTCTCTTTTCATCAGGCGTTCGACCTGAAGGAACAGCGCTACGTGGCCTGTAAAGTACATCAACTGAATAAAGACTGGAAAGAAGACAAAAAAGCTAATTATATTAAGTGAGCATCGAGGAATTAAAATTATTTTCACGGTTATTGAAATTATCGTGGGTGGAATTTAATTCATAATCTTTCATATTTCTTTATTGCTCAGACACGCGCTGCGGGAGTACAATATACACAAAGCCCTTGATCATCCACGAGTCGTTAAACTCTACGACGTATTTGAGATCGATGCTAATTCATTTTGTACTGTCCTCGAGTATTGCGATGGTCACGATTTAGATTTCTATCTCAAGCAGGTAGGTCATACTCATTTATAGAATCCATGTTCATTTTGGTTTTCGAGATATTAATGAAATTGATTCTGACATTTGTATGAAAACTTTTTTTTTTTCTTTTTAGCATAAGACTATACCAGAGAGAGAAGCGAGGTCTATCGTGATGCAAGTCGTATCCGCTCTGAAGTACCTCAATGAAATAAAACCCCCAGTCATACACTACGACCTGAAACCAGGTATGAATTTGTTTATTTTATTTCCAAAAGCTCTTTGCAGCTCTTAATTGAGGCGTCGAAGCGTGCGGCCATCTTCTTGTAATACCTCGCAACTATTTTTAACTTATTTCTCAATTACACATTGAAATCCCATTTATTACTTCCAGGCAATATTTTATTGACCGAGGGCAACGTGTGTGGTGAAATAAAAATTACGGACTTCGGATTGAGCAAAGTTATGGACGAGGAGAATTATAATCCAGATCACGGAATGGATCTGACCTCCCAAGGAGCTGGCACTTACTGGTACGTTCTCATTTCCCGACAAGTCAATTCAATCTGTAACAAATTTGCATATCAGCTAGGATAAACATGTGCATGTCTAATGTCATAAGCTTGTCTCGTATCACACCATTTAATTCTCGTTTAATCCTTCAGGTATCTCCCACCCGAGTGTTTTGTAGTCGGGAAAAATCCTCCAAAAATTTCTTCAAAAGTCGACGTTTGGAGCGTGGGAGTTATATTTTACCAGTGTCTCTATGGCAAAAAGGTGAGGTTACCTGATTTATTTGATTCAAAGCAATTTCGTTTAATACCAATCTTATTCGTCAATTCGTTTTCACGTTGCTTCACAGCCATTCGGACACAATCAGTCGCAAGCGACAATTCTGGAGGAGAATACGATTCTAAAAGCAACGGAGGTTCAGTTTGCCAATAAACCGACAGTCAGCAACGAAGCAAAGGTATCGAGGAGGAATGATCCTATGATTTATAGAATGTTCTGCTTCTCAGTAGGATTGTACTATTACTTATTCTTCTTTTTGGGATTTTTTTTCTGTCAACAGAGTTTCATAAGGAGTTGCCTAGCGTATAGGAAAGAGGAGCGTATAGACGTATTGACGCTAGCTCGACACGAGTACCTGCAACCTCCAGTGCCAAAGCACGGCCGCCAAGCGAACAGTCAGCAGCAACAGCAACAGCAAATACAGCAGCAGCAACAACAGCAGACTTCGTTTACCACCGGCATGTTCAGTGGCATGAACGCGTCGAGCAGTTCGTAGTGGAAAGAGACTAAAGATAAAATCTTCGATATACTAATACATGCCAAATCTTGAACACTGAACTGCGCAACGTCTCATCTTAAGAGAATGAAAAGTAACGATTGCTATAACCAACTGTAAATACTAAACTGAATACTATCACCACCACCACATCCACCACCGCCGCCACCACCACCAACCACTACCTACAACTACAACCAACCACAATTACCACCGCCACCAACCACCAATCACCACAAGAATCACCGCCACCATACTTATGGATCAATCCGCGTAGGACGTCGCAGGAAAGATACGAGGCCGATCGTTCTTGACTCTAGAAGCTTGCGTCTTTCTACAACCAAGCCACGCTAAACATTATTCAAGCATGACAAAAAAAAAGAATGTTGTGTTCGTAAAATATTCAATTGTATTATCGTTCCTTGTATCGAACAGTGGGCTGACTGATAATAGTGTTATAAAACGAAACATGAATATAAATGGCAGAAGTTGAGGCACGATGTTAAACGAAGATGAAGAAGGGGTGTGTGACGTGGACGAAGATGATGCTAACAGGGAGACGGATTATGCGAAGAAGATGGGTAAACGCGTGAAAACAGATAAACATGTGATATGTCATTGTGAATTAAAGTGGAGTACGTAGATACTAAGGGATATAAAAAAAAGAATAATTGTTGAGAGGCAAGATTTAAAAAAAAACAGCTGAAACGATTGAATCCAGTGGAAAAGTGAAATTGCTCGGTGAAATAAGGGGAAAATCGAGATAGGGACATGGGGTGCTAGGCAGAGGACGAGGAAGAATGATAAAGAGAGAGAGAGAGAGAGAGAGAGAGAGAGAGAGAGAGAGAGAGAGAGAGAGAGAGAGAGTGAATGAAAGATAGCGTGAGAGGATAAGAGATGGAGCGATAAAGTGACTAAGAAACCGAGGTGAAAACTACTCATCGAGTAGCGAATGGAAGGGAAACGAATGAAAGAAAAAAATTATAAACACAAAGAAAATCGCGGGGGAAGGGGCACAAGGAAAATTTAGTGATTTTACCTCGAATTGGGGACGTTTTTCTCTTATGACTCTAGTGTATGCATGAATGTTTGTGGCGAAAGATTGTTAAAACTAGCGTGCGTGTACATATTTATACTATATATATATATATATATATATATATATATATATATATATATATATATATATATATATATATATATATATATATATATATATATATATATATATATATATATATATATATACATATATATATATATACTAATAAATCCAATATAATATATATATATGGTGTAAAGAAAAAAAAATGGAACAGCATTGACAGTGGGAAGACAACATGGTGGCTCTATCCTCGCATGACCGCCGTGCAGCCAAGTATTCCATGAATATTTGACGGCACATCATGTTACTTTATTCAAATATTAATATTATTACTTATATCATGAATAATAACGATTAACACACACAGAAAGAGAGAGAGAGAGAGCGTTAAAGAGAGCGTGAGAGAGAGTGTGTGTGTGTATCTGAGAGAGAGAGAGAAATGACGTAAACAAAAATGAGAAGATTTGGTTGGTTGTTCCTATTGTGAAAACGAGAGTGGACCGTATCCAAAAAAAAAACCGGATCTTAAAAACGTAACAAATTTTAGCTCCCATAAACCCTTTACTCCCTATTAAAGAAGAAAAGTTGAGGATATAAACGGATTTAAAAAAAAAAATGCTCCCAAAGTGAAAGAATGACTAGAATCGCGCTCCGCCATCAAATTCTTCCTCTTCCTTCTAATCATCGTAATCACATCCCATCTATCTTCTTCTCTTTCATCTTCATCAACATCGAGTTCGACATCTCGATAAATGTTTGAAAATCCATATTATCCTATTCAGCCCTTCTCGACCCGTCCTAAACAATGCGTGGACTTGATACCACTATAATTCACAATCGTCAAGCATCATCGTCATTATCATCGTCATACAACCACAGCAAAGCCCGTCAACCAGCACCACCACCACCATTTTATTATAGTCATTTTCGTGCTAAACCGATTTCATGTAATCAGGCGTTTAAATTTTAAAGTAAGCATCATAATATTGTACCGACCCGATCATTATAGTTTCTTTACTCATAATTTGTTTTATATATGTACGTTATATATAGATAATTATGAAATAGAAGACTAAGTTATTTTATCAAGTGCCCTTGCTTTGTATTATAGTCGCGTCTGTCGACGAATCGCAGCTTTTGGGAGTACTAGAGAGAGCGAGAGCGAGAGAAAGAAAGTACACGAGCGAAAGAGAGTGTGTGAGAGAGAGAGAGAGAGAGAGAGAGAGAGAGAGAGAGAGAGAGAGAGAGAGAAAAGAGAAGTTGTTAAAATGTTGTAAAACCTTGTTGGTACGATGCAGGCACGACATGGATGTCTCAAATACCAACATATTATTGGCAAAATGTGGTCAGAGGAGAATACATTACAAGTCTGAACAGTGTCTACTACTACATCCGTCGCTTATACTCGAAAAAAGAAATCAACACAACAACCGTTACATCTCCCCAAATGCCATTGTTTTCCAGCCTCCCCCCCTCATATTCCCTCTCTGTTCCTAAAAACACGTAATTTATTAATCTCGTGAATGACGAAAAGAAAAGTCAAGCGAAGAGCAAAGACAGAGGATAGAAAAAGGTTTCGGCCATCTTGAGGGAACGAATGCGTCGTCTCTATCATCATCAGCAATAATCATGTATTTATTGTAAAAGCCGAGTGTCTCATGTGACTCGTCGGCAAAGTTATGGCGAAGAGACGCGCACGGAATATAGTAATAAATAATTGAAAATAAATAAAAGGGAAAATAATAATCCACAGCAAAGAAATCTGGCTCGGATCTTCTCTCTTGACAATGTAAATATACTATATATTATTGTATTAGGAATTTAATGGTTGTATCAATTTTGACCTGCGTTCTCCTTGCAAGTTGGCCTGCAATGTGGGTCGAATTGTCAAACTGATAAATTAATAAAAATGGAGGGCGAGGCCGACCTAGATTTCTCGTGGTTTTCTTCCGTGTGACGATGAACGCGTCTTACTCCGTGCGTGTCTCTTTGTGACGAGTTTTATGGAGATAGGAGAATGTGAGAGAATGAGTGAGAGAGAGAGAGAGAGAGAGAGAGAGAAACTGGAGAGAACGACGTAATAACGGCGAATGGAAGACGAATATAGGAGAATGTGAGAGAATGAGTGATCTCGTGGTTTTCTTCCGTGTGACGATGAACGCGTCTTACTCCGTGCGTGTCTCTTTGTGACGAGTTTTATGGAGATAGGAGAATGTGAGAGAATGAGTGAGAGAGAGAGAGAGAGAGAGAGAGAAACTGGAGAGAACGACGTAATAACGGCGAATGGAAGACGAATATGATCATTATGGGAGCACTGGAATTTCTAACGAAGCTGAAAATTTGATCATGGCAATTTATACGCGCCTGGAGTAACAAATAAACCTGGATTACCAATTTACAGCTTCAGTGAACTTAGGATCCGTGTTTGTACGTTTAAACAGTGAGTTTACAGTGAGATGAATTTTCGACAGAGCTATTTAACTCGAGAGAAAAACCTGTCTCTTGTACCATTACGAGCAAAGGTGTATCGTGTCGTGTTACCTTTCGGTTTTTGTCCGATAGAGGAGGAAGTACGACTTTTTTGCATTTGTACATACTCGAGGCATCCTTGAGGAAGAAGAATGTTATGGATAATAAAGCGCAGAATGTACGCAGATGATACGATGAGAATTCTCATTAATGGTCAACTTCTACCGGAGGGCAATCCTTCGTGCTCGTTATTTCAGGACGCGAATAGCCATTAATTAACAATGGAGTAGCCCTTCGAGGACGATTTTGTCATTTATTCGTAGCTTTTATTTTTCTTCCAACTTCTCTTTCTCTCTTATTTTTTAAATTATTATTTACAACGTACGCCTATGTCAAATTAAAATGGACGTCTCGCTTCGTCGAATGATTAAGATATGTATTTGTCTCTTTTTTCTTTCTTTTACTACTTTATCAGATTCTTATCGTTACCCTACGATCTTACACGTTCATGGATCTTCACTCGTAACAGCAAAACGAGGTAAGTACTGGCATGATAGCAAAATTCAAATATCGCGCCATGTGGCTTACTAGTGCAACGCTCACATCTCGGTAGTTAAATCAATTTATCGATTTCTCGCTCCACGCCCTTCTAATGGCATTTTCCGGAACTAACAAAAATGCTGAAAATGCAATTTTAAGAGACTTTACTGTTTTCTCTTTCCATGCACCCTAGAGGAATTTTCTGGGAACTTGCCGTCTGGCGGGATTCTCCGGAACTAACAAAAATACTCCCTAGGAAAATGCAATTTTTTTTAGGTAATTTGACGAATTCTCGTTTTACGCCTTCAAACGGAATTTCTTGGCAATAGCCTACCCTATGGGGGCTCAAGGCCTGTCGTCGGGAAATCTAGAAGGTCCTGTTGCGGCCACAACATAGGCCAGACCCACTGAGCAAGCTCAGCGGATGAGGCGGAAAGGCAACTTCCGACACCATGGTATACGTGTAGCAACACTAACAGGGTGACTATCCTTATGTGACTACCCGAATGAATATACTCGGCTCCTGTGGGGCCTCGGAGGGGTTGTAGCTCCCTTGTGGAGAGGCAGGACCTCATGGAAATAAGCGAAAATATTCATTTCGCTCCCTTATACTTCCTACTTTTTCAACTTTTTCTACTTAAAATAATAAATGAAATCAATAAAGTAAAATATTAACACTTAGAAGTCGAAAATTCTGGCCAAGCATATTTAGAGATACTGGAAGTTGCCTAAAATTGGGTGCGCGCAGGATTCGGCAGTGGGGGAGAGTGGGGGAAGCGACGAACGCAGCGCCCGGACTCGGAGCGCTCATTCTTCCTCGAGCCGGTCTCCTATACTGGTCTCTTGGAATCATTACTCTTATTCATTGTCAACATTCTTCTTCTTCGTCTTCTATTTTTATTTCTTCATTAATTCCTTATTTCTTTATCTTTTATTCTTCAGTCTCTTATTTATCTCTTTCCTCATTCCTTCACCACTTTTATAACTCTATTCCTTACTTTTCTACTTGTTCACTTCTTCATTTCTATATTAATTTCTTTATTATTTTCACTTATATCATTTCTTTCTTATCATCTTATTCTCACTTCTTTATTGCTATATCCATTTCCAACCTTCTTCTTCTTCTTCTATATTTACTTCTTCATTAATTCCTCATTTCTTTATCTTTCATTCTTTACTTTTTTATTTATCTCTTTAATCATTTCTTCTCCACTTTTATAACTCTATTCCATACTTTTCTACTTCTTCACTTCTTTATTTCTATCTTTATTTCTTTCTTCTCGTTTCGCTTTGTTCCTTCTCACTTTCCATTGTATTTGTCTTACTTTTCCTATTCCTTTGGTCGGGTCGAGCATATTAATTCAAGTAGTCATATAAGAGTAGTCATCCGGTTAGTGCAGCTAGACTTAAGACCATGGTGTCGGGGGTTGCCCTTCCGCCTCTTCCGCTGAGCTTGCTCAGTGGTTGGTGGCCCAAGTTGTGGCCGCAACAGGACCTTATGGGTCTCCCGACGGGGGCCTTGAGCCCCCTTAGGGTATCTACGGCCATGGTCTTTCGTATAGTGAATCTAGCCAGGTGTCTAGCTCTCGCGTATTTAGTATAATTTGTTCGCTTTGCTAAAAACGCTCCAACATGTCGTTGACCCTCGGGCACTTGTGTGGGTAGAGACGATCCTATTTGTCCGGGGGGAGGTCGGAGGGGTAGTCCGTTGACTTTGGGTAAAGTCCTACTTGTGCTTGTGCTTGGGGGTCACTTCACTTGGGGTAGGTGCGGGTGCTATTGAGCACCCGCTAGTATAAAGTCACCCTCTGTCGGAGACATTTTGCGCGGGGATCGATGGCTAACGGGGCCCGCCGCCGGCGGCGGGCGTGGCTCCTTACGTCTAACCCACTGGGCTCGCCCGTGGGAAGGGACGGAGGTTGTAGCGTTAAATATCGTCCTTCCGGATGTCCCGGCGTGCCCGCAAGGGTTCGCTGGGTGCTACGCCCGCGGTCTTTCGTTGCGGTGAATCTTGACTAAGGGTAGACCTTTCGCGTTTAACTTGTCCCTTTGCGCGTTTAACTTATCTTAGCTTTTTCGCGTTTAACTTGTCCCTTTCGCGTTTAACTTATCTTAGCTTCTTCGCGTTTAACTTCACCTTACCCCCTTGTGCGTTTTTCTTGTCCCTCGACCCGACTTCCTTCCCTTCCTGAGGTTTTTCCCCCCTAGTCCTGTGCGCGAAAGCCGCAGGACTCGGGGGTTTTCCTCAAAAAAAAACAAAAAAAAACACGGTCCCCTATGGGGCCTCGGAGGGGTCGTAGCTCCCTTCAAGAGAGGCAGGACCTCACGGAAATGGGCGCGGAGGGGCCCATTTCGCTCCCTTAAACTTCTTACGTTTCCTACTTTTTCGAGTTTTCTCATTTGTCGTTCCTCACGAATAATCTGGTTCTCGTGCACACGTTTTATGCATTTTCTTCTCTCCTTGTTCCCTCAATCCTTACCATCTCTGTTTCTCACTCTTTCTTTTT